CGAAATGAAATATTGGATTAATTGTTTGTTTATTTGAGATATATAATTATGTTTAGATCATATGTTAATATTACAAAAGTTCAACACCTTTTAAGTAAATTTGTTTTTTTTCTTTTAAGTAAGGGCATTTTCGTATTTGCATTAAGCTTTTTTTCGATTTATTTTTTTATTTATTAAGAAAAGGACACATGGCGTTCATTTAAAAGGTACCTGTTGTTAGGTAAGTACAAGCCAAAGTACAAGGGTACCTGACTGTAGAAAAGCCCAAGAAAGTATCCCCAATAACCTAAGAAAATAGATGCTCCATACGCAACCTTTGACAACGAAAATACGATTGCTTTTTCCTGAAATGGAAACAATGGTTGATTCAGTCAGCAGTTACAAACTTGCCTTTTAACATGAAAAGAGAAAACAAGCATGGGAACAGTTAAGTAAACAAAGCACAGAATATATGAGTGTACTAAAGAGAATTTGGGGAATCAAGAAAATAATCATAGTTTGGAACACCAGAAAAAATGGATATCAACACTTCCACAGAAAGATGACGTAAGGCAAATGAAACAAACACAAGGCAACATGTTTAAAAGGAATTGAATCAGCCTCAAAAATGAAGATTCACTTTGAAGGTTCAAAGAATGGAAAACTCCAGATGACTAAGGGGGTGATTGTTCATGTTTTGAATAGTAAAAAATTTAGAATTTTTTAATTATGGTTAAGTTTAAGAAAAAGTGGTATGTAGTTGTTAATGGATATATTAAAATAGTATTTAAAATAAAATAGTTGAAGTTGATTTAATGTAAAAGTAAGAGAAAATGATTGAAAGTGATAGTTAGTTAAAATTATGTGAGTAGATGAATAGTGAATTAAAGTTAATGTGATATGTAATAATGATTTGTTGATGTTATTTAATTATATAATAATATTAGAGATAGTGTGATTGAGTTAAAGTTGAGTTAAATTTGAATTTGAGTAAAAAAAAATTAGTGTACAAGTGATAAACAATCACACCCTAAAATTTGAAGTTTGACACTCCTAAAAAGCACCCTTAATATATCTATCTATAGTAATATAAAGAGGTTGTTGGAAAAATACAAAAATAATATGTTTGACTTGAAAAATAATGTTTTGACTTACTAATTTAAGTAACACCAATGGGCCCTACGCTTTAAAATTAAATTTAAGTAATAAATCTCTCATGGCAAAATTAGTTCGGATTTTCTTAACCAATCCATCGGATTCTGTGGGATTATATAGATTCACAATTTTAATAATTACTACAAAATCTTGAATATCATTAATTTAAGTGATAAATCTCTCATAGCAAAATTAGTTTGGATTTTCTTAACCAATTTAGCGGATTCTGTGGGCTTTTATATATTCACAATTTTAATAATTACTACAAAATCTTGAAGATCATTAATTTAAGTAATAAATCTCTCATAGCAAAATTAGTTTGGATTTTCTTAACCAATTCAGCGGATTCTGTGGGATTTTATATATTCACAATTTTAATAATTACTACAAAATCTTGAAGATAATGATCGAAATTGTCTTACCAAAGTTTTAGAATTTTGTTAACTATATTGCTAGGATTTTGAGTATGAATTGAAACAAAATTTATGTATTTATATGCAAGCTTTACCTTTATACTTACATTATAAGTATGATTGAGGTGGTTGACGTCTTTAGGGTTATGGTGCATTTTAAGTTTGGTTCTCGAGAACATGTTACCAATACAAAATAAAAAAGTCATTATAAGAACAATACAATTCAATGTATGTAAATATATAAAAAAAGTAGTACGATAATTAAAGTAGCGTGCATTCACATTGTTCTGCCAATCTCATGCCAAAAAAAATAAATAAAAAAAAATAATAATAATGATAATAATAATAATAATAATAATAATAATAATAATAATAATACAATGAAATCGCATACGAGTTCCGAATTCCTGTGTGAAAATTTCAAATCAAATACAAAAGGTTGAATCTTTGTATAAAATACAATCTAATACGTTTTTGTTTTTAGAAAAATCTACTTTTCGTTATTATAATTGCAGATCGAGCACAAAAAAATCAACCTGGGTATCAAAGTTGAGTTAAAATGAGAAGTTTTTTTTTTAAAAAAAAAATAAATATTTTCTGTCTGAAAAGTGAGACCGCACACGAAACTTTGCATTTTGTTGAAAACTGAAAACGATCTAAACAAAATCGTACAACCATATGAAATTAAAAAAGTTATAATTCGTAAAAAAATAGGAATACATAATATTGAATAAAACTTATAAATATATTAACTAATTACAGAGTTTCAGTGTGCTAATTCAAAATCATAAATGATACTTGAGCTAAAAAGCATAACTAAGTAAGAAAATCGAATTTCATGTCTTAAATTCAACAAGAATCGAAAATTGAAGATGAAACAAGAGGAGAGAAAAGAGTGAAGCGACACAAATGAAAAGCCTAAATCTAATGCTGACCAAATGCTATTATAGGGTCGATCTCACACGTACATTTCAGTTGATTATTGTCAAC